TTGGATGTGAATGTGGGATCCCGGAGGGTTGTGGCAGGAGAAAGAAAACTGGAGTCTCGTGTTTCACCCTCGCAGCACCTGCAAGGGGATAACATGTGCAACAGAGACAGCGTGTTGGGCGGAATGGAGCCGACACGCGTAGTTCCACGAGCTCCAACTCCCTCCCGTGCCTTCCTATAATCTTGCTCTGTGTTTTGGTCAGAGGTTGTGGAGACACAATGCAGTTGGATTAATGTACCAATTAATCTTAATTCTGTCAGATAATCAGTAGGATGCTTGTCAATGTTTATCTGCGCGCGGAGATAACTGCCGTCTTCCCTGTGTCCTCGGGCTCCGGAGCAATTCCTCTTGCCAAGCGCTTCCAGAGGCTCCAGCCGCGTCTCTGGGCTCCTCAAGCACCCAGTGCTGTGGACTCTGTGAGCCTGGCCACGCCGCAAAACAAGGCCAAGATGGTTTTCTCTCCATCGGGATAAGCTACTCGATTGTTGCTTAATACGTGTTGTTCTCTGCTGGGGGATGGGAAAACCAGCTGAGTCTCAGGCCTTACAGGAAAAGAGGTGGGACGGGCGAGGAGAAGGATGAGCCCCAAATCGCGGCGTTGTTTTGTGCTAGCGTAATGGCTGCCGCCTTCTGCCCAAAGGTAAAGGCGTAGCTATCAGTGCCATTTATCAGGTACACCACTTCAGTACAAGCTTGTTTAAAACAGGGCAGAGCCCCTTTTTCATCTTAATTAGACAGTAACCCATTGAGTGCAAGTGGGCCTTCATTTTCTAATTATTTAGTACATAATATAATGTCATTAAACATCTTTGAGTGGACAGGATTGCTCTAAAAGCTTTAGCTCCAGAGCTCTAAAATTAGGCTCTTGGCATTCATCCCTGTGTGTGAAAAGCAGACAGTTTGTTTACCAGGAATTTAGACTCACATTACTGGGGGAATTAGCAGCGAGCTATTAGTCTGATTCGAGCACTTAACAATCGCTGATCATCTCCTCCTGGCCTGGGCGTAATGGAGGTGAGCAGCTGTAAATGGGAAGTGTGGGGGGCTGTTCTCATGAAGGCACTTGGGGAAAGTGCTGCCTCCCCTGACCTCTGCTAACCCTGGGGTTTGCAAGAAACCCAAACGCCGAGCGGCTTCCTGGAGGAGAGCTAATCGCCTTGGAGAAGAGCTTCCATTAGAGCTGAGCCAGGCTGGGCCCAGCCCACCCTCTCTCCTCTGAAACGGCCGCGAAATCCCCCGGCACAAGCGCTTTGCTGCTTCTCATCGCGCTTCCCAGTACCGGGCGCGGTGGCACCCGCTGCAGGACGGTGCCGGGGTCCGGTTCCGCGGCAGGGCTGGGTGGTCCCGCTGAGCTCAGTGGCGCTGGATGGCTCCTGCCTGCCCACTGTTCTCCCCAGCAGCCTTGGCTGGCCCGGGGACACCTCAGGGATTCTGCAGGTTTTCCTTCTTGCTCCTGTGTGCAGCTGCCAACTGCTTCAGCAGACGGGGGCTTGTGGGGGTGGGCCAAAGACGGTACTTTCATTCTTTATGGGTGCTGAACCTGTCGCCTTGGCAGCTCCAAGTTACCTGCTGTCGTCAGCAGGTTTTAAACAGCATGCCAGGGATCTGTAGCCAGGAATTCCTGTTGGAAGGAAAGCCTCGTTTCCCTCGGCTGTGATACACAGTGTGTCCCTCTTTAAAAGGAAAACTGCCATCACTTCATTTGTGCTAAGACATGCGTTTGTTGGAGGCAGTGGGAGTGATTTAACAAGGCAAGGACATGATCATTCTGGACTCCCAAGTGCAAGGCTTCTCCCTGGCACCACCTTCTCGTGACCAGTCGTCACCCAACTTAGCTCTCACAGCGGCCGAGCCCGCTGCTGGAGAAGGACAGTGCGAATGCCCTCCATAACTGCCACGTTAGTCCGTGCAAGGGGATCTGAAGTCGTGCCAGGGTCGTAGAAGCCACGTCTGCAGCTCCTGGCAGCGGTGATGGCTGGAGGGGTGGTCAAGGTTGCTCTGTAAGTGAATCTTTCCCAATCTGTTCTTCAGGTTCCTTTCCTGTGCTGCCTCCAGCAGCACGAGACGAGGAGTGTACTTCTGTTAAATACGAAGGAAGGCAGGAGACTTCTAGAGTTGCAAGATAAAATTTATTAGTGAGATTTGGCATTATTTTGCACTGTGAAAAATCATCTCCATTACAATTAGAAGGGTCTCTCCCTTCGGCAGCTTGCTGAGAGCTGTGTGCTGAAGCTGTCGGGGTGGAGAATTTCCATGAGACTTGTTCTGTATCCAGAGCAAAGGTGCTCCCGGGATGCTGTGCTCATTTCTGGGGAGCAGGAGCAGTGGAGTTTCCCGTGCTGTGGCTAGCAGGAGCTGTTCTGAGCCAGCCATCGACCATCGGGGGGGCCGGCAGGGCTGAGCCGGCCCTGGCACGATGGTGCTTAGCAGCCGTGCCACGGGGACGCCGCGCAGTTGCACGGCCGCGGTATTCGGAGGTCCAGAAACGCCTAGGTGAAGGTGGGACTGTGCTTACAGGGGTGCGAGTACCTGCGAGCGTGCGGCTATTCAGAGGAGAATTTTGCTCGCAGTTCCTGATGGAGAAGCCCAAGAGGCAGCCGTGTATACGAAGGTGCGTGTGTACGTGTGAAAGGGCCACGAACACCTGGGGAAAGACCCAAACTGACGTGTTTTGCTTTAATTTCAGCGTAGGGATGTGTCTGAGAGTCCGGCACACTCCTCTAATCCAGGAGATGACAGGAGGCTGCAGCTGCCACCGGTAACCTCCTCAGTGGGGACCGGGGGCTAAGGGCCCCCAGTGCGGTGAATAAACAGCAGAAGGCTGGTACCTCTCCTGCACCAGCTGTGCTAAAGCACTGACGTGGGGAAGCAGCAAGGATGGCAGGGCAGTGAGGGAAGAGGAACGCCATCCGCTCTGGTACGCACCACGGCGTAAGATTTCGTAAGAAGGCATCTGGCCCCGAGCGGGAGCCCGAGCGCATCACCCAGCTGGCGCTTTCCTGGCAACAGAGAGCACGGGGCAAAGGCAACACCCACCCGTTCGGCATCTGCTCGGGCTTCTAACGGGGCTCGGCTGTGTGTAGTACTGTCCCGAACTGCTGTATTGTGTGGGGTGGGCAAGGGGCACCCTGTGTGTGCAGAGCTCAGCCTTCCGCGGCCCCGAGGGCGTGGGCTGGCTGAGGAGGCAACTCCTGCACCCCACTGATTCTGCCCCATGCTCAGAAATACCCAACGCCAGGCTGTGAGAGGCAAACGCGGTACGAAGTAACAGCAGTTGCACAGCGCACGCATCTACGCTCGGCATGAACGGCTCAGGAAGCAGAGCTTGGCTGAGGAGACGGACCAGGCAGCGTGGAAGGGGACAACGGCAACTTGAGCGTGTGGAGAGTACACGGTACTTGCAGCTCCCGGAGATCTTTGCAGTGAATACCCCGGGGTGCTGTGGTCAATGCAGCTCCAAGGAGCTCTAGGCACCCCCCAGGCATCACTGGGAACGAGAGTACGCGGTACTTGCAGCTTCCGGAGATCTTTGCAGTGAATGCCCCGGGGGTGCCGTGGTCAATGCAGCTCCAAGGAGGCACCCCCCAGGCATCACTGGGAAGGCTCAGCCAGCGACCAGGCAAGGCCACCCTCTGCTAGGCGAGACTGGATTTACGGGGGCTGAGCACAGAAATCCATCTGACACGCAAAGCCGAGCCTGTTGCTGGTGGTGATAATGGACGATACACACGTGTGGCAGGGGCCAAACCAGAAGGGAGCAGGAACCAAACCGCAGCACAGTGACCTGGGGTGGCGTTTTTCATATACTTATGGGGTGGATTTGAAAAAGGAACTGAAAGTAATCCAGAGCCGGCGTGTACCAGGGACTTCGTGTTCGTTTATTGAGCTTCACTCGCAACCCTCCCTGCAGCGTGGCCTTCTCGTCCGCAGGGTGCCATACGGTATGCCTGGGCAGGCCCGGCAGCGGGCACACGGCAACCTCAGGAAGCCCAACAAGGCCAAATGCGAGGTCCCACTCCTGGGTTGGGACAATCCCGAACACAACACAGACCAGGGGATGGATGGATCGGGAGCAGCCCTGCAGAACAGGACTCGGGGATACTAGTGGGTGAAAATTTGGGCATGAGCCAGCCATGTGTGCTTGCAGCCCAGAAAGCTGTCTTGTCGCCTGGGCTGCATGATAAGAAGCGTGGCCAGCAGGGCGAGAGAGGTGATTCTGCCCTCCTTGGAGCCCTGCTCCAGCCCTGGGGTGCCCAGTACGAGACAGACAAGGGCCTGTTGAAGCAGCTCCAGAGGAGGGACGCAAAAATGATGAGAGGGCTGGAGCTCTCAGCTATGGGGACAGGCTGGGGGGGGTTGGGGGAATCAGACTCGGGGAGGGGAGGAG